CTCATGCCTGTAATCCTAGAACTTTGGGAGGCCAAGGCGGGCGGATCATGAGGTCAGGAGTTTGAGACCAGCCTGACCAACATGGTGAAACTCCATCTCCACTAAAAATACAAAAATTAGCCAGTCGTGGTGGCAGGCACCTGTAATCCCAGCTACTCAGGAGGCTAAGGCAGGAGAATTGCTTGAACTAGAAGGTGGAGGTTGCAGTGAGATGAGATGGTGCCACTGCACTCCAGTGTGGTCAAAAGAGAGAGCTCCATTTCAAAAAAAAAAAAAATTACTAAAAATAGTACTTCATAAATATCATCAAATATACAGTTAGTATTTGCATTTCCCTGGTAGTCTTCTAAAGTTTTTCACCTGGTGCTTGTTTGAATCATGATCTATGTAAGATCCATATTTTAAGATCCACTGAAATGTCCCAAGTTTTGTTTTGTTCTGCTTTTTTAATACATTGTTTCCGCTTCCAATTTGCCCTTGAGGAAAAAGTTTTGGTTTTGTTGCAGAAACTAAATCAGTTGTCCTGTAGATATGCCAGCAGTTTGGGTTTGGCTGATTGCATCCCTGTGGTGTTATTTAATGTTTTGCATCTGTATCTTCTAAATTCAGAGATCTGGAGGATTGATAAGATTCAGATTCAACTTTGGGTGTCAGCCTACTTCAAAGGTGGTATTGTGTATTTCCATAATTATGAAAAAGGTTGTTTCTATTTTTACAATATTGTCAGCAATAATCATTGCCTAGATTATGGTATTTGCAAAATGGTGATTTTTCAAATTCTTTCCTTTCTTTCTTTCTTTCTTTCTCTCTCTCTCTCTCTCTCTCTCTCTCTCTCTCTCTCTTTCTTTCTTTCTTTCTTTCTTTCTTTCTTTCTTTCTTTCTTTCTTTCTCTCTCTTTCTTTCCCTTCCTTCCTTCCTTCCCTTCCTTCCTTCCCTTCCTTCCTTCCCCTTCCTTCCTTCCTTCCTTCCTTCCTTCCTTTCTTGAGATGGAGTCTTGCTCTGTCACCAGGTTGGAGTGCAGTGGCACGATCTCGGTTCACTACAACCTCCGACTCCCTGGTTCAAGTGATTCTCCTGCCTCAGCCTCCCAAGCCTCCCTAGTGGCTGAGATTATAGACACACCTCACCACGCCCAGCTAACTTTTGTATTTTTAGTAGAGACAAGTATTCACTATGTTGGGCAGGATGGTCTCCATCTCCTCCCAAAGTGCTGGGATTACAGGTGTGAGCCACAGTGCCCGGCCCATTTTTTATTCCTATATTAGCGGAAATGCTGTAAAGAAAATGTCCCCTCATCAATTATTTAGTAACCCTGAAATACAATTCATATAGAAAAGACAGACTAAATGTTTGATTCTTTCATTTACTCACTGGTGAGTTTGTTTACCTAGTATTCTCCATAGGTGGCCAATGAGGTTTTTTATTTGTTTGTTTTCTTCAGTATTGTTATGAACTCATGGATCTATTACTCTTATCAATGTTGTCAGGGCCAAAAGAAGCTTGCTCAACTTGGCTTCCAAGTCCTTTGACAAAAACTTTGTAGTGTTTGGTAGCATTTTTGCTTGTTATAATAAAATAATCTCAGTTTATTTTATACATTTCCTGCTCCACACCTACAATCAGTAATTTCTTCTGGGATCCCTGGTTTCCTTGAGTGGGAAACCAGTATTTGGGGAGCACATCCTGGGCATCAGGAAGGTCACTGCTATTGAACTGGTCACTGTTCCTAGATCTTTTTGTGGTCAGAGCAGTGAATATGTATTCTTTTATATTGAAAGATAATACATGCCATGAGTTCTTATACTTCCCACTCAGATTCAGGATTACTACAGAATTGTTACTTAACTGCACGAGTCTGTATCTCCTTCCAACCAAGCTGATAATCTCAGTTCTCAATGACACCAACATAGTAATTTAACTTATGTTATGATACAAATACAAAGGTCTCAGGATAACAGTAGAAATGTGACAACCAGCAATATGAGTACTAGAAGTAGTTTAGATCTTTTTTTTTTTTTTTTGGTAGTTTAAAAAAATTGTTAAAATATATCCCGGTTAGGAACGTATACCAAACATACAGCGTTTTAAAGTCACTTCAAATCATTATTTAATGAATTTTGCTACCCATTTGAACCACATTAAGGTTGATTCATGTTACTTTAAATTTTTTAGGAATCAATTTTTAAATTTATTTCATTTTCTTTTATAACTATGTAAAATATTTACATGGTTCCGAAATCAAATGTGAAAATAAGGTATATTCAAATAAGCTAGCTATTATTTTTTTCTTTTAGCTTCCTGTCTTCCTGTAAGTAACTTTTGTGTTTATCCTTTCAACTTCTAAGTATATATTAATATAATTATAAACAATGATAATATACAATATACTATTTGCACTTCTCTCCACTTTGCTTTACTCGTTTAAAAACGTATCTTAGGGACCACTCCATCATAGTACATAGAAGTTTTCTTCATTTTTTCTTATACCTCAATAACATTACTCCCTTGGGTGGAGGTGCCGTACTTTTGATTCACCCAGCACTCTATTGATAGATATTTTGGAGTTGTATTCATTCTTTTGCTATTCAAGTAATCTTTCAATGAATGTCCTTCCGCATATGTCTTCTTTCTTATTTTTGCAGTATATCTTTGGCATAGATTCCCAGAAGTGGAAATTGTTCTGTTCAAACATGTATTATTTTTAGATACTGCTAAGTCCTCTTCCATAGTGTTGAGCCATTTTGCATTTCCAATGGCAATGTATGAGAATAGCTGGTTTATTTCGGCCTCATCACAGAGCGTGTTGCAAAACTTAGATTTTTGTCAATCTGATAGTTGAAAATATGTTTCTCAACTTGGTTTTAATTTTAATTTCTCTTATAAATAAGGTTGTTATCTTTTCATATAGTTAAAAGCAAATTCTGTCCTCTTGACATGGTTTTTTCCATTAATACCCATGAAGCCGCAAAGAAAATTCTAATTTGTCTTCTATTTCCTGGGTTACTTTTTAATCTCCCTTTTCTAGTTCAATTTCTTCCGTTTATTTCCTAAGTATTGCTCTCCCTCCAGATTGCATGTTAGTGTTTCTTTTAAAATCCACTCCTGGGTCAGGTGTGTGGCTCATGCCTGTAATCCCAGCACTTTGGGAGGCCAAGGCGGGCACATCATTTGAGGTCAGGAGTTCGAGACCAGCCCGGCCAACATGGCAAAACCCCATCTCAACTAAAAACACAAAAATTAGCCAGGCGTGGTGGTGTGTGCTGTGGAATCCCAGCTACTAGGGAGCTTGAGGCAGGAGAAACACTTGAACCTGGGAGGCAGAGGCTGCAGTGAGCCAAGATAGTGCCACTGCACTCCAGCCTGGGTAACAGAGTGAGACCGTGTAAAAAAAAAAATACACTCACTTGTGAAGATCACTGCTATTCTAGTGCATACAGGCTGCTGGGAGGTCTCTCACTTCTTCCGACTCACATATCAAACTGCCTAATGGAGATCTTGAAATGAGATCTTGAATGCCCCTCCCGGGCACTTTTAGCTCAGCATGTGCAAAGCTCTTCCCCAGCATGTTCTTCCCCTGCTGTTCTCCAGTGCAGTGAATGCTACAACTCACCAGCTGCCCAGGTCATAAACCTAGGTTATCTGCTGATGACTCCCTCTCCTACCTTCCTTCTATCAAATCAATCACCAATTTCTGTGGCTTTTATCTCTTAAATGGTTCTCAAATTCATTTATTTCTCTCCATCTCAGACTGCTGGTTTAAGTCAACGTTATTTCTTTCCTAGATTACTGCGCCTTCCTTCCAAGTGGTCTCTGCTTTTCTTCTTGCTCTCAAGCATGGACAGAATCACCTTTTATTTTATTTTATTTTGAGATGGAGTCTGGCTCTGTCGCCCAGGCTGGAACGCAGTGGCCCATCTCGGCTCACTGCAACCTCCGCCTCCCAGGTTCAAGCGATTTTCCTGCCTCAGCCTCCAGAGTAGCTGGGACTATGGACATGTGCCACCATACATGGCTAATTTTTGTATTTTTAGTAGAAATGGGGCTTTACCATGTTGGCCAGGCTGGTCTCAAATTTCTGACCTCAAGCGATCCACCCACCTTGGCCTCCCAAAATGCTGGGATTACAGATGTGAGCCACTGCTCCCGGCCAGAATTACCTTTTAAAATATAACATAGGGTCATTTGCCAGCTTAAAAACCTCCAACAGCTCACAATAAAAATAAACAACCAACCAACGAACCAAACAAAAAAAGAACCCAAGTCCCAAATCATATATTTCCGTAGGTACATATGTAAGAAAGTAGATACCACCAAGCTCCAGAACATAGACATGAAACTGATAAAAGTTTGCCTCTGGGGAGGGGACTGAGGTGCAGGCAGTGAAGGGATGTTGTGGATGGGGTTGGGGTTGGTAGAGAAGGACTGCAGCTTTATCATTATTTGAATTGTTTGAATTTTTTATAATTAGAATGTTTTCAAGTATTACCTACATGTTTAAAAATAAGTGAAATGGGCCAGGTGTGGTGGCTCATGCTTGTAATCCCAGCACTTTGGGAGGCCGAGGAGGGCAGGTCACAAGGTCAGGAGATCGAGACCATGGTGAAACCCTGTCTCTACTAAAAATACAAAAAAATGAGCCTGGCATGGTGGTGGACGCCTGTAGTCCCAGCTACTCAGGAGGCTGAGACAGGAGAATGGCGTGAACCCGGGAGGCGAAGCATGTAGTGAGCCAAGATCGGGCCACTGCACTCCAGCCTGGGTGACAGAGTGAGACTCTGTCTCAAAAAAATAAATAAATAAAAATGAAAATAAATAAATAAAAATAAAAATAAATAAGTAAAATGGACTAGCTCTGAGGCAGACTGGCCTCACCAGAAGGTATATGAATTCCCAGTGCCAGGTTGCCTGGAAGAGGCTTTAGGGACAACTGTTTCCAGGGAATGAAAAACCATCTTCAGCCCTTATAATATATCTGAGAATTTCAGTCAAGATATTCTTACCTTTGTGGTCCACAGTTTGACAGTCCAGTCAAATGATGATGTGACAAACAGGTGAGAAAAGTCGATTGGGCCCACTGCCATGTGGCAGTTAATTCCTGTCACTGGCCCTTGGTGACCTTCAAAGACCTCACCAATACCTGCTTTGCTGTAGGAAAAGCACACATGAGCAGAATTCCAGTGACCTCTGAAAAGCAGTGATTGCTTAAAAAACAAAACAAAATAAAAAACCCCCTCAACTCTGCATGATTACTTCTCCATAATTTAGAACAACCACACACCATCAAAATGAAATCATTTTTACAGTTATCCTGAAAGAAATTATTTGCAAATATGTTACCCTAGTTTTGATTATTTAAAAACAATGTTGGGCAATGTAATCTTTTTAAAATACAGAATTTAATATCAACATTTATTATTTAATTCCTTTTGCGGAATTCCTCAAAGCCTATCATTGTTGATGCAGTTATTTTAATGGAAACAAATACACTTCAGTCTCAGAAGCTTTTATATTTATAAGATTATTTTATTCTTGAGATAGCATTTTGCACATGGTCTGCTTTATCTTCTTTTGGGGAGCCTACTGACTATAAAACTCCATCTATCCTTGAAGAAACCATCATTTTTTTTTTTTTGAGGAAATTTCTTAAATTAAGTTAACATAGTTAAAAATGTAACACTTTGTGGAAACCCTTGTCACCACAAAATAATGCACATAATTTAAATATAATATGGAGAAAATAATGTTTTCTCTTTACTGAAAACAGAAGAGAGATTTACAAATCCTTTGTAAATTCCATATGGGCAGGTATCTTGTCTTTCTTCTTGCCAAGTGTCTGGCATATAGTAAGTGCTCAATATATTTGTTGAATAAGCTAGCTAATATAAAAACAGACAAACTTATGTCTCAGTCCTTTTTTAAGAGAGAAGCACGTTTGAGAAATAATGATAGACATTTAAAAAATTACACACCGACAAATATTGCTTATTTAACTAAGCTGGTATTATTTGCAGTCCTCTATTATCACTTAGTATTCTGCATGCAATCATATACAATTAGGAAGATGTGAGAAAACATACCACAAATGCTGTATTTAAAATATTCATGTGCACAAGTTTATAAATATGACAAATACGTAGGAATTGTAGAATCCTAATATTATGTCACTAAGAATAAAAATGAGTTCAGTTATTAAAACGTTTGGGCCTCTGGAGCACCAATAAATGTCAATGTGCTTAGCAAAATTTGGAATCATGAGCAAAGGGTGGCAGTGCGTGTTCCATGTAACAGGCACTCAAAAATTACGCCCAGTGAAACTGCTAACAGCAGTTCCACACATGATCATTTAAATTTGTTCTAATGAACCTGAGGAACTGATCTTTGAAGTGGCCCCTGTTGAGACTCCACTTGCTCTTAACAGCATCCTGAAAGGGTTTATAGGGTGCAAAATGAGGACCTTGTTTAATTTATGGAAGTGGATTTGCACCTTCTCTATGTTAGGTGAAAAATAACAATCCCCTGCTTCTCCCCCATTTAGAATGACTACAAAGCCAATGCCTGCTATGTTACAATTTTACTAAGGTCTGTATTTTCTATTTCAGATGGATGGACCAATGTAAAAGCAAAATTAAGCTTGTAAAAAGATTTGTGGTGTGTGCCACAGGGACCCTTCTTTTGAACCAAAGTGCATATTCTGATAGTGCTTAAAAAGTACAATAGCCACAGAACAAGAATGTTCATCATGTAAGATGTTATTCACTTTATAGCAATGAAAAAAATCGGGAAATTATCAATGAATGTATTCTATAGCCTTTGCAGATAATTAAGGACCTAGGTAAAACCATGGGTTAAGTCAACTGAACCTATGCCCTGTTGATTCTAATACACATATAGATAAAGCTGTGACTCCAGGTCTGGCCTGTTATACTCTCTATGCCTCTAGTGCCACTAGACATTCTACTCATGCTCCAGATGTTTGTGTATTTATCTTTCCCACTGTCATCAGTTTTTTTGAAGAGAGAAACCAGGCTTACACGACGTCTGCAGGCCTTGTAGCACCTAACAATGCACTTTGCTCAAAGTAGGCATACAACAAATGTATTTATAAATGAATAACTTTATCAAATTTTTTTATGCTTTGATAAAGCTTTAATGTGTGGTTCTAGCCAGCTTTTATGAAGGAGGATCATTGGGAATGGACTGTGAGGCATATCTTCCTAAATCATGTTTGAATCATGTGAGGGGGCAAATACTGCTTGTTTCTATGTGCAGAACAGCAGGGACATCACAGCTTGTATAGTTTGAATGGAAAAAGTCACACAGCTGAGCCATGGATGCTTGTTATTTCTACAGATCACAGAAACACAGGGATATGAGCTTGGAACAATTTGTGGTTCTTCATTAAATCTTAATAGCCTGGGATGAGTGCAAGAGATGAAAAAAAATAAATACATGGAATAAGAACTACTAAATTAAAACAGAAATTAAGCACCGATGTGAACATAGTGACCCTTTCAAAAGATGTGAGGTCAACTGTTAAGTTTTGCATGCAATTTTACAATCTAGTCCAAACTAGTGGATTCCACTTTATACTGACAACTCTCTCTTCCAGGGGCATTGTGAATCTCTCAGTTAAGGCAGAGTTCTTATCTATCACGTGGGAACTGCATGGCGGTTTGTGTGACTCACTCTGTTCTGATCCCTCTGACTGGGAGGAAGGGTTTTAAGGCAGTTCTCTAGATTGTATGGATTACATTATATATCATTTCTTTATCATTTCTTTATCCCCAATATATATTATTAGCTCCACACTTACTATGTCCTAGGTACTGTGCAGGAAATCAAAGATGAAATGGAAATAATGTAGTACAAGAAAAATGGCAGATGAATGAACTAAAATATGATTAATGCTATTGTAGAAACATTAAAAAAATATGAAATTGTCAACTTGACAGCCGATAGTCCTATCCCACTTATTCTACTTTAATTTTCTCCATAGCACTTATCATCCTAAACTATATATTTATTTGCTTATTAGTAGTTTACCCTCAACTAGAATATGAACTCTAAGTCTGTCTTGTTCTTTAATGTATCCTTTTGATGGTGCCTGGCACATGGTAGGTTCTTAGTAAATATTCCTTGGAAGAGTGAATGAATAAAATAAATGAAAATTCTATGGGACTTAAAAGTGGGAGTGGTTTTCTTTGCTCAAGAGTCAGGAAAGGTTTCACATGGAATGATCTCTGTGCTGACTCTTGAATGATGAGGAGGAATTAACAGGCCAAGAAGGGAGAAGTGCTAGACCTGGTAAAAGAAGTTGAGTATACAAACTCAATGAAGCAAGGAGGGATAAGAAATATTTGGGGATTGTTATCTCTGATGGGCACATGTCTAGACCCTGAAGGTATGCAGAGATGCTGGGAAGGTGCCAGTGGTCTCTTATGATATGCTCAGAAGCTTCAGCGGTTTTCCCTTAAGGCAGTGTGAACCACCATAGACTTATGAACAGCTAATGACCAGAGCAGATGTAGCTCTTTAAGATAATGAAGACTTGAAGTTGTGCTTTCCATTTTTTCAGAGATGTTTTCTCATAATGCAAGGTGGTTAAAATCCAGAATGTGATAACAGACTTTCGGAAATGAAGAACATATCATCAGTAAGGAAACAGAAAATCACCTTCCATGACGACAAGCCGTGTAGACTGTACCTTCCTCGCTGCCAACCACGAAGTTATTGACATCTCCTGTTGGGAAAGCCATTCCAGTAACAGCGACAGACTTGGACTTATTGTACACCAGCTCCATGCTCTCCTACCAAAACATGGTGTGGTTACATTTCCATCTGTCAACTCCTTGCCATGCCAAAGATAGCACGGAAAAATCATTTGGCTAAATCGTCTGTTTGCTTTTCACACAGCGTTACAAAAGACCCCGGCTGTGCCAGAAACCATGCTTTACTGCCCCTGACATTCATGCTTCTGTGGATCTCTGGTTTCAGGCCGGCTGGATTTCATCAGCATGTGCTGCTGCTTCTTAAGTCAGGCAGAGATGACAGGTGAGAATTTTGAAACTAATGGTGCAGAAACTAAAGATAATACTGTAATGGTTACACTTGTCAGCTCCAGGCTTTAATAAAACACACAATACCCTTGTATTTACAAACATTTTCAAAATCAATTGTTCGTGAGAATACACATGTATTAATATCAGATGTACTAAGCACATTTGTCAAAGCAGGAGTATGTGTCCTCCATGGACTAAAACCAGAAAGTTGTCACTCAGGTCATAAAAACCAGATTTCAACAGGGACTAGATTTCATGCAGGGCAGCCACTGGGTGAATAGGCTATAAGCCTGAAAAGAACAATATTTAAATATGTATTTAAAATAGCAAATGGAAGTCTTTCTTTTATATAATATGATTTTTTAATTGAGAATTAAAGATTCCTAATCTTAAAAGATATACTGCTGATTAAGTTTAATGACAGAAAAGAATAATCAATTATAACTAATATCCCTGAGTATTTCTGGCTATTTATATCAAATAGCCTATTTTGTGTGTCTCAAATAATTTAAAAAAAATCATTCTGAGGTATCATATCATTATAGTTGCTTGAGAGTTTAGTCTTTCTTGTGCAAATGGACGACCATTTAGGCCAAGGAGTCCATTAAATTGAAAGTGCAAGCTAACAGTCTAAGTAGCACAGACAAATTCTGATCCTGTGACGTGTTCAAAGTTTGTGATATCCATGCATAGGGAGCACATCAGCAACTGGGATAAGGGAGAGGATGCTGTGACTACGTCATACAGAAAACTGGATCATCCAGTGATCTGCTTCACCACTAAAATTAGCAACAAGGAAGGAAAAGTCCCTTTACCCATTTGGGAGAGAGAAAAACCAGGACAACTGTTAGATGCCCCTATTCCTCCCTGCCATCCATGGAAACCATGTCATGAAATCTTCCATCTTTGTATAGACACAGGAGTCTGTAGCATGCTAAAACTAATACAAATAGACTTAGAACCAACATACGACTGGTTTTAACCTAAACAAATAGGTGTAATGAGCAAAATGGGCAATTAAAAATTCCTAAATAGAGGGTTTGCTCTTATGTCTGTTTATAATCTCCAGGCTTTTAAAAGAAAACAAAACATTGCTGAGAATTTTAAGACAAAGCCATAAAATACGAATCCCTCCAGGCCTCTCTAATGTTAAAGATCAGCAAAAATAGAGGAACTTCAATTGTAAGCCACTCGTTAGCACTCTCTCTTTTTTCTTCCTAAAATTATTTTTAAAAACTTAGTATTCTTTACATCTGTATTTTGTGGAAACTTAAAGGAGGTTGGTTCTTCACAGTTTCCATATTTCCTTTTGTATATGTGTATGTGTGTGTGTATAATAAAATAATAGTTATTTTTTGAAGAGACAAAGTCTCACTCTGTCACCCAGACTGGAGTGCAGTGGTGTGATAATAGTTCACTGCAACCTCAAACTCCTGGGCTCAAGCAATCCTCCTGCCTGACCCTCCCAAGGAACTTGGACTACAGACATATGCTACCACACCCAGCTAATTTTTTAAGTTTTGGTAGAAAAACTAAAGCTGTGTTGCCTAGGCTGGTCTTGAACTCCTAGGCTCAAATGATTCTCCCACCTCGGCCTCCCAAAGTGCCGGGATTACAAGTGTGAAGCACCGTGCCCTGTCTCCTTATGTACATTTTGAAACTTTAACTTCTTATAAAATTGTGTGACAGACATTCTAGTGTTTTTATCCTGGGAAAGAATACGGGAATGTTAACATTGAGAATTATCTCCTAGATATCGTTTTGCAGTTTTCTTCATGTTTCCTTACATTTTGGTCAAAGGCTACAATGACTTCTTCTCTGTTATTTTTGGCTGCAGGATAGTGAATACTGTTTTTTCACACAAAGAAATATGGAAAAGTGTGTGTGTATGTGTTCATGTGTGTATATGTATGTCTTGTGTGTTTGTCTACATACGCATATCTTGCAAGTTGCATTTAGTTGCCTCCCTTTGACAGTCTCTCCCACTTCTATTCCTTTGTTTGGTTCCCATTGTTGCAATCAGTATTGGTTTGCAGACTTGGGAACTTTTTCATTTTTGACTTCTCATTTACTGAGCAAGGAATGACAGGAGCCATACTAACAAACATTCCAGAGGTGAAAACAGATGGTTTGATAAATTCTTCATAGACACAGGCTGTTGTCTAGGCCACAGATACAAGCAAGGGCTTGGATTTCTGTTTTGCTGGGTTACCTTCCCTCCAATGCAAGTACCCATAACGGATTGCTCTGCTGAGCTCCAACCTCGTTTGCATCTATTCAACAATGCTGTAGGGTAAGTACAATTCATACCATAGGTAACTTCCATAATTACTATGATTTAGAATGGATTATTTCATTTTCACTTGAAACTGACCTAAGGATTAATGTATTACAATAATTACATGATTTGTGGTAAAGGAAATGGGTTTTGGCTTCAAGAGAAGATTGCTGAAAGCAAGCCCTAGTCTTTCAAGTGCATCCATTGGTTTTAGCTCCTCTAGGATGTGAGGGTTTGGCTTTTAGGAACTATGTTCCATTAAGCAGGTATGTCTTTTAACCAGGATGGTGTTATGTGTAGGGAAAAACAAACCCACCTGTGGAGTTGAGAGCATGTCCAGGCTCCAGGAACACATTTTGCCATCAGTGGAGACAGTGATGAGGTTATGAGCATTCTGGGTCCCAACAACATTTACACAGTACACGGGATGCTGCAAAAACACAAACAAGGAGGATCAGACACAGATCCAAGAGGAAATGCTTACATTTGAGTGTCAAACACATTACTCTAAAACAAGGATTAAAGAGTGACATAATCCTATACTATAATACAAGCGTCAGGTCATTTGCTGCTTTTCATTTGAACCTGATTTCTTTCTAAAAGCTCTGGCAGCAACACATAATAGTGGAAATACTTACAAAGCTTCACCTTGTTCAGTCAGAATGCAATGCAGTGGAACAGAAGGAAGCTAGAACAAATGAGGTTTGATGGGGCAGAGGCAATGCAGGGAAGTGAATTTGGATTACTTGAACAAGTCTCCACTGCATAGTTTGGCTTCTAAGCTCAACAAGAGTGATGGAAAAAGACAGTCTTCAAAAGGGTAGAACTACTGACTTTTGGAAGGAATATATGTTACTAAATCTGGAGTTTAATGTGTTATAGTCACAATGCCAAACACTTGTTAACATTCTTTATACAAAGTGGTTAATATTCATACCATTTTAATCTGGGGGAGAGATACTGGTGGTGAGATTATTGGCACAGTGTACCTAGTGAGATAAAATTAGCTTCTTTTATGTTACTACAAAATCTAGGATAATAATATATTTATTTTTCAAAATACCATTTGCAGTAGTATAGAGGCTTAGATTTGGCCAGGGCATTGAGAAAGGTCATGTATACATCCCGGGAACCATACACAAGATGCTATAACCCTCTGTCATACTCTTGTGGGTTATCCCACTCTGCAGAATTCTAAACGGTAGGGTAAAATCATTTGCAGCTGTGTATTAGACACTAAATGGAAGGTTACCATGAGCAGAACCTACAGCAATTTGGGTTAGATTTCAGGCAGTTCAGCCATCAGTGGCCAAACCACACTTACTTGGTGCTTCTTTGTGTAAATAGCTGACAGTATAAGTCTTACCCTTGATGAGTTACTGTCCATAATACCTAGCCACAACTACAATGAAACAATATTTAATATTGGAAAGTTGATATTGTGTAAAGGATGGTTCCCAAACTATTATTATCATATAAACTGCTGGTCAGAAGGAGTGGTAATAATCATCTAACGTAGCTACTCATCTGCCTCAACCAAGAGGTCGTTCAAACTCTGCTTAAACACCTTCCTTAAAGGGCAGCCAATTTTCACAGTATCCTGGGGGAATTTTTTCTTCCACTAATGGGGATAAGGAAAGTTCAAGGAGATACTTTCAGTGCAGTGCCCTCTGGGACCAAACTAATCAAGTCAAAACAGTACAACTTTTTGAATATTTATAGACAGTTGTTCCCTATTACTCCTCTCCCTGCCAAATCTTTTCTTACCCAGACTGTCACTAATTCCCTCATCTGTTCCTTGGGTACCTGGTTTTCAAAACCTTCCCTATCTTGGTGAATCTCTTTTGAAAATGCTGTATTTTGTCTGAGTTCCTCTTTCAGTGAGGTTCTGAGAATCAAACAGAACTGTCTACCTATAATCTGACCAGCAGAATATAGAAATCTGGGTAGCATTGAATTATCACTTTTCATGTGATAAAAAAATATGCCTGCATTTAATGCATGCTAAGATTACATCTGCTTTTTTGACAATTATATTACCTATTTCCCCTATGCCGATGGATAGTCAGCTAAGTCCCTATGTCTTTCACACCATGTCCCTACTGAAACTTCCAAATGAATCAGCCTCAGTGGATCTGCACAGTGGTAAGTACAGCAGAGATCTGAAGCTAAATGTTATCCCAATCAATTCTCTAAGTATCAGGAGGGCTGATTGGTTGTGGGATTGTAGGCAATGCTCTTTCCCAAGTCTCTGGTGCATGCAGAGCCCGAGGCGGTGTATTATCAAGACCAGAGCCACATAGCATGCTAACCTCTGTGTGGAAATCCAATGGAAGATTGGATGTAACAAATTTTCACCTGAAAATGGTATAGACTTAGTAAAACTGAAGAATGGGAAGGCAGGGTCCAAATACTGTTATGAAACTGAAATCCATCTTGTTTTTCAACAAGAGTCCAGTGGGGCTTCTTTGATAACCACTGAGCATCAACGCAAATCATTAAACACTAACAGATTAAGACTCAGAAAGGTCCAGCAGAGAAAGAAAGCAAGTCTAGAAGAATAATAGAGCCAGGTGCCCGGAGAAAGAGCGTGTGTGGCAGCCCCTCCCAGGCTTTAATCAGCAGTACTGGCCTGTGCTTCCATGAGTAATAAAACTCAGTTTAAAAGAAAAAAGAGGTGTAATGAAACCAAAACAGAAGCAGACACTGGGGCATGCTTACACACACACACACACACACACAACTCTACCATTAAGGAAGAAAAAAGCTACAGTACACCTAATTTTTCCAGTATAGATGCCAGATTGTTTTTATTTATTTTGGAAATAAACTTACTGTGCGCCTGAAGGATTTTGTTTTACTTATGATTTCCTGTTGTCCCATATGCATATGTGTGGTGGGTGTGAAAGGAAATTAGTGAGTAATCTGTGTTGGGCCTCTTTTTCCTTTTTGATCCTGGTACCAATCAGCCAGCCAATAGTGAAAGTTGAAAGACAGTCACAAAATTAACTGCTCACTTTTAGCTATAGATTAGAAAAAACAAACAAACAAACAAAAAACCCCAAAATAACAACAACAACAAAAACACACAGCAAAAGAGAAAGGTGGACAAGTTTTGTTTCTTTTTTTTTCTTTTTTCTTTTTTTTAAGAGGAAATCTCCCTCTGTCACCCAGCCTGCAGTGCAGTGGTACAATCTTGGCTCACTGCCACCTCTGCCTCCCGGTTTCAAGCGATTCTTATGCCTCAGCCTCCCAAGAAGCAGGGATTACAGGCGTGCACCACCACACCCAGCTACTTTTTGTATTTTTAGTAGAGACAGTGTTTCTCCATGTTGGCCAGCCTGATCTCGAACCCCTGGCCTCAAATCTCGGCCTCCCAAAATGCTGGCAGTAGAGGTGTGAGCCACCATGCCTGGCTTATTTTATTTTCCAATGGAAATAACATCAGTAAGTTTGATAATAATAGTATTTTAGTTGTGATGATCACACTCTAAGTTACTTGCAAAAGAAATGTTAATTCTTTGAAAGAGTTCCTGGGTTTGAATTTTCCCCAAAACCTTACTGCTAAATGTTTTAACATTTGGATTTACAACTTTGGAAATTTCAGAAGGTACGTTCAGAAACACACCAGCCATCCAAACAGGGCCAAGACATGGTTTCACAGTACTTTGCCAAACACCTGCATCAAGCCCACCTTCTCCTGGGCCACAATTTTCTGTTATTAGTTGGGGGAAATGAGGTAGGCAAGAGCAATTTCCCAAGATTCCCAAGAACTAGTTTCACATGCATGTGTCTTTGGCCCCAGTCAATCAGAATTGGGGCTGACTTGGTATTTGTCATTTCCCATTGATAATCTTACAAGAGCGGGAGAATTTTCCTCTTCATGGACTTAGCTAAACAGCTGGCAGTCCTTTTTCATGCCAGAGTGCTTTTGAGGCCAGCATATGAAACAAATGCAGCAAGCGCATTAAGGAAATTGAAAACAAGAGTAGAGCTGTATCCTTGGGCATAATTTGGGCATTTCAGAGAAAGAACATCAGTTACCCTGAGTGTCAAGGTAGCAAGGATTGATGGAGACACGCCTGTCTTCTCATTCCTCTGAACAATTGCTGTACACACCTGTCATTCTCTTAAAGGAAATGACAGAGTAGTTGTCTTATGAACACTTATACTGAACCTCTTCTACTAAATTATGGGTAATGGTTTTGAGATGTTGACTTTTAACCCCAAGGATTATATTGTCACTGTAGACTTTATGTTGAGACTTACACTACACATTCCAGAATTTAAAGTCAAAGTACTCGCTCAAATCACAAATGGAAAAGGCCTGTTGGCAAAAGTCCTGTATATCATCCCTTGACGTGAAATCCTTACTCTTCAGGATCTATTTGAAAATACATGTTTCCACCTTATAATGTAAATGCATAGGGTTTCTTTGGGAAAACAATTCCACAGATGCCTCATCCAAGGTTTCTCTTCACTGGTGGCCTTTGGGAGAGCCAAGGAGATCCTCCCTACATCCTAACACATGTACGTTATTAAGAGACATACCTAAAGCCAGTGATTCCTTCATCTACTTTTCACTTAACTTTTAGTTGGTCAGGATTCAATCATAATAAAGTAGCTCCTCCCAACTTGGCATTACTGAAAACATCCATACTTTTTGAGTAGAGTTATTTTCTCTTTCAAGGCCTGGTGGCTCATAGGGATATGGCAAAAATTTGCATTACCGTGTGTGCAGCAGCTGATAAGGGTGTCCGCTGCACCGGAGTCCTTCGATGACTGCGATTGTCCCAGAGAACAATCTGGCCCGAGTAAGTCCCACCAACCACCAAGTTAGGATGGAAACGGGCAAAGCAGACTGACATCACAGAGGACTGTCAGGGAAAAGGAGAGAGAAAGAGATGCACTGTGAAATGGTTGTAGATGGCTTGTTTCTTCCTGAAAACAGTTCATCACATAAACTCAATACATCCTGGAAAACAAAAAGCAATTTAAAGCTGGGACTGTAAAAGTGCGTAGTTACTAAGAAATTTTGTACATAGGCACGGGACTTTCTTGGAGAGGCAGACCAATGGTTACTCCTTGCAATCTGAAATTTTAAGTCCTGTCCATTTTATTAAATAGGCATAAAACCTATCTTAAGTACATCATTGTTTTGTGGTCTGTAAAGCTTGCTTTATGGACATTTCCCATTTGTCACATAAAATTGCAACAGAACTAATATTAATTCTCCACTAAAGCCTTTACGAAGCAATTTTTTACTTTGAGAGCATGGCCACGTCAAATTACACAATTTGCAGTGTTGGTAAAGGCAGAGTCATTCTAGCTTCAAGGGCTTTAAGATGAGGTCTTCGTTTTGTTTTTGCCTTAATGTAGACTTCCAGGAAGTATACTGACCTCAGACTGATCCAACCGACTCCTCCCAAAATTCCCTCACCTCCCATGGGCATTCTTCCTGACCTTAATTCTGCCCACTGCAGAAAATTCTGAATGTTATTCCTTGCCTATTTTAACAAACAACCAGAAATGGATTTCAGTCCAGCTCTCCCATGGTCTGTCATAGTCTGTCACAAATGTGGTTTCTGAAGCCCCACAAAAGACTACTGGGCACTACATTTTGTAGGAAATTACTTAGCTGACATAGAACCATAATGCACTTAGAGTCAGACAAGTTACTGTTCCACATCTGCTAAGTCCATTTTGATTCCTACAGTACTTTTCATATTTGCATTTATAAGCTAAAGTAATTGTTTTTAGTCAATACATTTCATGCCTTAATTAAATTAAACGAAGTCACTGAGAACTTACCATGGGTAAAGAAGGCATTTTACCAGGAATGGTAGGAATAAAAGGGTGGTCATTGCCCTCAGCAAATTTGTGCTCTGGGAAAGGGAACTAAAAAACATGGATGCAGATGAACAGATGGGCTACTAGTCCATACGGTGCCTTTGTGGAAAACAGAAAAAGGTATCCTCTGCAGAAACACAGTCGTATGGGCAGGTGCACGCCTTGGCAAATGGAGAGTAAGAGGATTTTCATCCCCACGTGTCCCTTTGGCTTGACGTTCTTGTGCAGAGCACAACGTGCACACCCAAGTAGCAGCCTTGAATGTGATACACGCTATGACTAAATTGTAGGAGCATGTGGAGTGTGTGTGTGTGTCTCTGTGTGTGAGGGGGACAGATGGAAGGAGAAGATTTGTTTTAGTTAGGGAGGGGGAGAGGAGGCTGGAAACGGTGAGACGGTTGGAAAGACCTCATGGAAGAGGATGAATCACACCTTGAAGTATACATGGAACATTCAAAGACTGGAGAGAAGCAACAGGCATTCCTGAAGGATAGAATAATGAAGGAAAAGGACCAGAGGCAGCAAAACGAGACTTGTGAGCAGCTCATAGTCTGTTTTGACTGGGAGGGGACTTGCATGGAAGAATCAAATCATAAGAAGTGTGGCTAAGAGATTGCCTGGGCTAGAGAGCAGAAAGCCTTGAATGAGATTATTTGGAATTTTTTCTGTGGACAATGGTGAGAAATCACAACTTTTGGAGCAAATGAGTAAGAGGATCCAAGGTCATAACTGATACACCAGCAAAGTAGTAACAAAAAAACCCCAAACAAAAACCTAAGACCTCTTTTTGACTAGTAAACTAAACATCTATTAAAATAAAACAGAACAAGACAAAAAACAAGAAACCAAACCCAGATCTCCTATCAGCCTAAGGCTTCCTAGTTAGAAACAGCCTCAGATACTCTGAGGGAGAATAAAGAATGTAGACTATTTTTCAATGTCATGTTTCCCTACTTTGAATGATTTTCAGTTTCAATTCCTTGAACATGATTCAATGGAGAACACGCTCATGCCCCAATCTGGTTTTCATAAAGTTCAAGAATAACTCTCAATAATGATACTGAATTAAAGAAAAAGAAAATAATGCTGGTCAGCTTCTTGTCTTACACATCCCACAGAAATGATTCTTAGCTTTCAATTGATGAAATTCTTATGTTGCTGGAGCTATGTTGGAAACTTTTTTTTAAAGCTTCAGAAAGATTTAAAATTATCCAGGTGGTATCAACAATTGAATTTACCAAAGCTCAAATCAATATGGATAAAGGAATGTCATTCAATTTTTAAAATGCAGAAATTCAACCACTTGATTGCTTCTGTGTTTCAGCTAAATCCCAGCAAATATCCCTCCCAAGCTTGTACTGTTTGTTGAGACTAAACCAGAGGAAAACCAACGGTGCAGGTATTTCTATAAAACTGAAACACATAGTTGGCAATCAACTAGAACCCAACCCCATAGGGTGGCAACTCCAAAACCTACTTGTCCATTCATTAATTTGGTCATTCTTCATTCAATCATTCATCCAACACTTACTACCAACAAAGGACTACTAAACCATTTCAAAAAATTTTAAATATCACAAAAGCCCCCAATCTCAAATTCAGAGTTTTATTTAAATTTGATAAAAAGTGAAGTTAATGCTAAAAAAGAGTAACACCAGCTTGCAGCACCAGAGTTCTGCTTCCAGAGTCTACTTTGTTTCGCTGAAAACCTATTTTTACAATATATCCATGAGGAAAAAGAGTAGACTTTTTTTTTTCATTTTCTATTTGGAAGATGAGGTATAGTTATGTTCATCAATTTCACTTATATCTTAAGCTCAACACATTAATTATAATATATGTTATATGTACTACATGACATATATGTTAAAATATATACAGATATGTTTATATATCTATTCTGCGTTCAACACAGGTATCCAGGGTATACCACACTACGCACCAACACTATTACCTGATAGTGTTTTACTATCAGGTAAAAACACTAGGATAGTAAGATCTCAATGACCTAGATGTAAACTTGAGAATTCAGTCATTTCACAAGATATCTTTACATACCCTGATGTTTGATGTAATGGTGGCCAACATTTGGATGAGTGAGTTAATTTTTTATTTTTCATCCAAAAGTTTCCTTGCTTTGTTATTCTATAAGAATATATGTGTATAGATATTTTTATAGTCTTACCTACAGTTTGGACAATGAGAGCTCCTCTTTTAATTTGGAAAGTCTACATCAACAATCCTCAGAGTAAAAGATCTCAGAAATCTTTTACTGTTGCAACCCCTTGCTGTTACCACAGTTACCTATGTAGTCATTGCTGTTGCTGCTAATTGTCATAGAATTTACTGACTGTCAGTAAAAAGAGCAAATGATATCATCCTGTCAACTACCTTTATTTGGTTAAAAGTAAAAAAGCATTTCAGAAAAATTGGTTGACACTACTAAAAAATGTGGGGATTTTTGTCCTACATTTTTAACAGTACATTTTTCTGGAGATAAAATCTAAAAAATCATTATTAGTAACACCATTGTTATTTTTAAAAATTTCATTACTTCCCTATGCAGTTGAAATTTTACATTAAGTTATTCAGTGTTATAATAAAGCATTATTAAACTAAGACTAACAAAATGCAGACAAACAAAATTAACTGAAAACAAGAAGTTTCCTAGCCTTGTTATTCTATAAGAATATATATGTGTATAGATATTTTTATAGTCTTAACTATTTCCTATTCTGTTTTATTCCTTAAAATGTTAATGCCTTAGAATTACTTTGGAAAATAACGTATGGCCTTTAAAAATTCAAATCAAGCTGGGTGCAGAGGCTCACACCTATAATCTCAGAACTTTGGGAGGCCAAGGTAGGAGGATTGCTTGAGCCTAGGAGTTTGAGACCAGCATGGGCAACATGGTGAAACCCCATCTCTATAAAATACTTAAAAAAGAAAAATCAATCAAGTAGTTTATGTGAGTGGAAAATAATTATAAAGTTGGTGAGGATTTTTCGATAATGTTAACTAATCAAAGTAATCTTTCCTGACGCTACAGTTGAACTCCATTTTCACAAGGCTATTGATTTCATTGATGTGGCCATATTGTTGGTCAAATCAGGGGCTCAGAAATATGATGAGGTCATATGTAACAAGCTTAATGAAAAGCTGGTAAGACTGACTGTCAATATTCCAACACATATAACACAAAGACAGTGTTATATCAGGAACCACAATTTCTAAGAGGGCAAGCATCACATTTTGATTATTTGCACAATATGTTCCTCCCAAGTTCGGACAAGCAAAGTTTTGAGACTATATTTTGAAGACCAAGCCAACTCTATTGACAGTTTCCAAAGTTTTTAGCAGATGCCTTAGACAAAAGGGTTTATTTTTTTTTTGGAGACGGAGTCTCGCTCTATTGCCCAGGCTGCAGTGCAGTGGCCAGATCTCAGCGCACTGCAAGCTCCGCCTCCCGGGTTTATGCCATTCTCCTGCCTCAGCCTCCCGAGTAGCTGGGACTACAGGCACCCGCCACGTCGCCCGGCTAGCTTTTTGTATTGTTTTTTTAGTAGAGACGGGGTTTCACTGTGTTAGCCAGGATGGTCTCGATCTCCTGACCTCGTGATCTGCCCATCTCGGCCTCCCAAAGTGCTGGGATTACAGGCTTGAGCCACCGCACCCAGCCAAGGGTTTGTTTTTTAATCCTGAGCAGATGGCCCAGTTACTGGCTGCCTCTGCAAAGACAGACCACCTCCTTATCCATATAGCCACATGTTCACTTGCACATGAGCTGACCCACTAAACAGAGTTCCACCTCTTCATCATCTATTTAAAGACAAGTCAGTTTAGTTTACACCATTCACAGGGAATTCCACAGAGATGAGGGTGAGATTCAGCTTGGAATGTCTCCCTTCACTCACCGCACACCATCACTACATTCAATTCAAGTTAGCCCAGACCCGTCTTTAAGTGGCTGTGGAGGCTGTTTTCTATTTTGTAGAGCTAATCCAGGCCAGCTTAGAGATGGTACTTC